CGGGTCCCGGGACACGCTCGCGTGCCTGCGCGCCCTGCCGCTCGAGAAGCTCCTCCCCGCGGCCAACTCGGTCCCGGCATGCTGTCGTACAGCACGGCCGCGCTGTCGTACATGCCGCGGCCCGACGGCAAGGTGCTGCCGGCCAGCCCGGACATACTGCTCGCGACGGGCCGGTACGCGGCCGTGCCCATGATCAACGGCGACCAGGAGGACGAGGGCACGCTGTTTGGGCTCTTCACGACCAACATCACGAGCACGGACCGGCTGGTGTCGTACCTCAGCGACGTCATGTTCCACAACGCGCCGCGCGCCACCGTCGAGGCGCTCGTGGCCACGTACGACCCGCTCCTGACCGAAGGGTCGCCCTTCCGCACCGGCGTCTTCAACGAGATCTACCCGGGCTTCAAGCGGGTGGCGGCCATCCTGGGCGACCTGGTCTTCACGCTCACGCGCCGCGCGTTCCTGGACATGGCCAACACGGTCAACCCGTCGGTGCCGTCGTGGTCGTACCTGTCCAGCTACAACCACGGCTTCCCCGTGCTGGGCACCTTCCACGCCAGCGACCTGCTGCAGGTGTTTTACGGCATCCTGCCCAACTACGCCAGCCGCGCCACCATGGTCTACTACACCAACTTCATCTACAACATGGACCCTAACAAGGGCGTGACGGGTTACATGGAGTGGCCGCGCTGGTCCAAGGACCGCCAGCTGATGAACTTTTTCGCGCAGGACGCGAAGCTGATCAAGGATGACTTTAGGGACAAGAGCGCGACGATTATGAAGAACAATGTTGGGAGTTTTTATGTCTAGGATGGGTTTGGGGCTTTTTGCTTGTATATCTTGTTTCGAATTTGCTGTACATATTTCTGTGGATCATCGATGGGGAAAATACGATCGAGGACGTTAGGAGGTCATGCTACGCACTTTGGATATGTCGTTTTGTGGCTGTCAGGTTTGATGCAGATTTAGGAAGGACGGATGGTTGGAGGATGGACGACGGTTACTTTCTATACGTGCGATATCACAGCAAGAAAGAAGGGCACTGCTTTGGCACCCAGAAAAGCATCAGACAGCATCCAATAAACAAAGCAAAATTTGCTTCGCGTATGATAAAAGAGAAGAGGAAATAAATGGCGGAGACGAAAGAAAAAAAATCCAAAAGTCAAGGCCGCAACCGGGGATTGAACCCGGGACCTCTCGCAAATTGTAATCGGCTGGTTTCCCAGCGATCAACTCAGGGTGAGCCCTAAGCGAGAATCATACCACTAGACCATCGCGGCAGTTGTGTAGGATGGTTGCTGATTCGTGAGTGGGCCTTATAGTGGTGAGTAAGATGAGGCACGCATGTGGCGCAAGGATCCGCAGCCTGACCAAGTCTGGGCTCCTCACTTCTGCAGGTTGGCTTCCGGTTTTGGTTTTCCAGCGCCGCGGGCATGGATGGCTACGGATAACTTCCCCGCGGTGATAAGGTTCTGCACGAGCAAGGTTCGATATTAATTAAAATTGTGTTTTATTGTCGGGAGAACGGGCATTACAATCCGGCTAATAATCAAGGCACCGTTCAAGGAACATCTCTTTTTGCCTGGATACTGCATGCACAGCTTGTCATGACTCCTTTGAGCAAACAGCGATGGCGTCGGGTTTTCTATCGATTCTGTGTGGAAGTACCTAGGGCGGTGCGATACGGGTTTCAAGAAACCACCGGGCAGATACGTAAGACAAAAGAAACGACGCCGGTGCGCCACACACTTTGATTAAAAATACGTGGTATCCCATGGCAGCGACTTGAAAGAGCATACCTAGGCGACCTCCTCCTTGGTTCCGACCTCGACCTCGAGCGGCCCACCCTCGGCCTTGCGGGTCTTGACGGCCTCGATCTCGGCGTCGAGACGCGAGTCGCCCATGCGCGTCTTCCAGGGGCGGGGCCCCTCGGGCGAGAACATGAGCTCGATCTCCTCGAGCGTCTTGCCGCCCGTCTCGGGGTAGAAGAGGAAGAACCAGCAGGCGGCGCCGACGCAGAGGCAGCCAAAGACGGTAAAGGTGTGCCACTTGATGTCGCGGAAGGCGGGCGGGGTGAACATGTTGAGGGCAAAGTTGAAGACCCAGTTGGACAGCGCGGCGAGCGCCATGCCGTGCGCGCGCGTGCCCAGCGACCAGACCTCGGCCGCGTAGATCCAACACACGGGCGCGAGCGTCAGGGCGTAGACGACGATGAGCAGGAACGAGAAGACGATGACGGTGTTGGCCGGGTTGCCGCCCACGACCTCGAAGACGACGTTTGCGTTGGGCGGCGTGCCGACACCCTCCGGGCGGAGGATGTGGTTGGTGGCCATGGTCCCCGCGACGACGAAGTGGCACAGGCCCATGCCCAAGGCGCCCGCGACGAGCAGCACGCGGCGGCCGGTGCGGTCGATGAAGAAGAACATGACGCCCGTGAAGATGATGAAGACGGCGTACTGCACGCCGGAGGTGACCAGGGCCACGTTGCCGCGCAGGCCGGCCATGTAGGC